CGGTGCCTTTTGTGTCTCAAGAACAACCCCAAGATCCAGAAAAAGCCTGAAGTGGGGCATCTCAAGGCAGGCCTCCAACCAGGACAAGTGTGGCAGGTGGACTTTGCTGAACTGCCATCCAGCAAGAAATACAAATACCTGTTGGTGTTTGTGGACTGCTACAGTGGCTGGCCAGAGGCCTTCCCTTGCTACACCTGTGCCGCCAAAGAGGTGAGCCATGCCCTGCTCAACCACATCATCCCCCGTTTTGGACTTCCCATCTGCCTCTCATCAGACAACGGAGCATCTTTCATCTCCAAGACCACCCAGCAGGTCGCCCAGGCCCTCCAGATCCAATGGAACCTGCACACCAGCTGGCACCCTGAAGCAAGCGGGAAGGTCGAGCGGATGAACCAAACCATCAAGAGACAGTTGGCCAAAATCTGTCAGCAGGCGAGCCTGCCCTGGCCAAATGCCCTTCCTCTTGCTCTCACTCGAATCAGGGCTGCTCCTAGGGGAGGGTTGAAGTTGAGTCCCTTTGAGATCCTTTATGGTAGACCTTTCCCTTCCTCACAGGTTCCCCTGAAAGCTGACTACCTGCATGAGGTGGGGTCCGAGAGTATTAGGGAGAGGCTGTCTTTTCTCACTTCTATCCTTTCCTCTTTGAATAGGTATCTGCTCTCCCACCTTCCTGTCCCCTTGGATGCTCCTGTCCACAACTTCTCCATTGGCGATTGGGTCCTTGTGTGGACGTACCGGCCGGAGGCACTGTCAGAGAAGTGGGTCGGGCCTCACCAAATCCTCCTTACCACCCACACTGCAGCCAAGGTAGCGGGTATCCGAGCCTGGGTCCACCATTCCCGGCTGAAACTCGCCCCAGAGCCAGAAGTGGGGACTGCTGAGGAGGAGGAGAACAGCGAGCAGTGGGCCGTTGAACCGGGGGAGGATCTGCGGCTTCTATTCCGGAGGTTGCCGCCGAAAGACCCTCCAGTTCCTGGTCCCACCGACCCACCTCCTCCCCGGGCCTCCAGGAAGAAGAAACATCGTGCCCGCGGTCAAGGAGACCCCCCTGGAGACCCTCACCAAGTTTCGTGCCCGTAGCACCACGGGAAGCCACTTTTCTCCGTACTTCCGGGTTTGACAGCACCGTTGACAGCTGTCAAAAGGTCCACCAGCTGACTTTGACAACCTTTGACAGCGCGCCTAGAGCATCTTTTCTACTTTCGGTTTCCCGCTAGCCTGCCGTGAGCTGCAAGGAGCTGTCCAAAATTTCAGCACTATCTCCAAACAGTGAGTCTACTTAGCCTCTCGGGTGGAGCTGTCCAAAAATTTCAGCATGCTTCTCCCTCTATTGCTTTGCCTGCTTCTCCCTTCCCAGTGCATGTCATCCAGCCCCGTTCTATATGAATGGTTGTCAATGAAGGTAAATTTTTGGCAACAGTTGGCATCTAGGGTCCTGAATGTTTCTGATTTCTGTCTGTCTAGTGGGACTACTGCCACCGATCTTTTTTCCTCATGTTTAGTCGGGGTCCCAGAACCCCTGGAAATTTTTCGAAATTTTACTGTTTTTCAAAATATTCCTTCCAAGCCCATGTCCTATAGAGATCTCTCTGTGTGGGGCAGAGCGGCCAGGGAGAGGGAACCGAGTATGGTGGCCATTAAATTGGCGCACAGCCCCCATGCTCCCCATTGCTTCCAAATCCCCAAGTGCGTGGGAAAGTGCCATAATTTGCCAAAAGAAAACTTTTTGAATTGTTCTTCTGTAGAAATGTTGCCCTATATGAATGCCCATTTGGTCTTGCCCCCTGGATGGTTCTTCCTGTGTGGGCAGACAGCCTATAGTTACCTACCAGCCAATTCCACCATAGGGAATTGTGCCCTGGGTAGGCTGTCAGTTTTTATGCCTTCCAAGGGTGACCTGGAGCTGGCACACTCCATGGCCAGGGAGGCTAGGTCCATCCAAAATTTGGACCCAAATTGTGATCCCTCTGTGGTAATCAAGGGCATTCCTCAATTTGTGGCTGCAGCCCTGTTCACCCCTGGAGTGGCAGCTGCCATGAACTACAGGGCCATTAAACATCTGGCCTGTGCCCTGGTCAAAAACATCAACTTCACCTCACAAGCCTTGGCTTCCATAGCCACCGAGATGCATGAGCTGAGAGAGGCTGTGCTGGATAATCGAGCTGCCATCGATTTCTTATTGTTGAAAAATCATTATGGCTGTGAGAGTGTGCGCCACATGTGTTGCTTCAATCTGACTGACCAGACCCCTGTAGTAAGAAAAGCCATAGAGGGTATGAATGATTTGGCAGCAGGAGTAAAGGAAACGGTTGGCTTTGATCTCAGTTTTTTGACAGACTGGCTCCCCTCCTTAGAATGGCTTAGGAAGGGCTTTCTAGTTTTCCTGGGTCTTATTGTTCTCCTGCTGGTTTTGAGCTGCTGTTGGTCGCACATTCCCTCTCTGTTCAAAATTTGCCAAAAAAGGGGACGTTCAGATCCATCTCGGCAGATGGCCATGCTGCCGTTGGCGGGCTACCGTGCGTGGGCGGAAACTTTAGGAGGTCGACTTCGTCTTCCTCCTTCGTTTCCGAGTGGGGATTTGAGCCCGAGCGCAGCGGGGAGCCCCGCCTTCACATTGGTGTGAGCTGCAGCGGAGAGTTCCGCAGTTCCTGGACCAAGCTTTTGGGACCAACAGATGAAATGTGCCCCAGCAGCTAGCTCAAAACCAGGAATGCTTGCAGTTTCACCTTGCTTTCCCCTTCCCTTTACTTTGTATCCTTTCCCTAATAAAAGTACTTGAAACTTGCAACTTTTTATCTTTCCGCATGCTACTTTTGTATCCTTTCTTGACTCAGACAAAATAACATTGCAATAAACCTTTTTTTGGGTTCCGGAGAGCCGTGAGCCCGCGGGAGGCGCCTCCGGGCGCCCCCCGGACCCCGAATCTGCGTTCGCCTAGACCGCGGATACGGAAACCGCCATTTCAGACCCCCTTATCCACGAAAATACTTAAAATGGCGGATCGCCGCCGTTCCAATTTTATATTTTTCTACAACTAATTCTAAGACTAACTGCCATTTCCCTTTTCTCGTTTTGGGCTCCTTCACCCGGGGAAAAATTAGTTTTGTTTTAAGTATTTTATCTTGCAGAGAAACAGCTGATTGTCAAACTGGCCAGGCTTTTCGCTTCTTCTTGGCAGCGCTCGCTCCCGCTTGGATCCAACAGCCAGGGACCCACTGCGGCCACCCGCAGGAGTCCCGGGAAGGCGGCCAGGCATGGGCCCCGGCCCCTGATCAGGGAAATGTAGTTTCCCAAAGGACATTGCTCCACAAATCACAACCCGGAAACCTTCCTTGGACTCTCTTATTTGCCCTCTCCTATTGACTTTCTGCTCCACATCCCGGACTGTTTTCTGCCACATTTTTTGGACGCAAACCCTCAGATCAGGCTTGCTCCGATTCGCAAGCAGCCTCCGCTTCCGTGTGCCTTCACCAGGAGACCATGAATTTCTTTCAATAATAAAGTGACTGAATATTTTTATTAATAAACTTTCGCTGGGGATGGGGATGGGATTGCCTTATGAAATGTATAGAATATATGAAATGTATGTAATGGAATGAAATGTACTTTGGTTCCCCTTCCCGCTTCTCCTCTCTGACCCTTGCCCCAGAAAAGAATGTGACCCGAGGATTACTGTGACAGGGAGGAAATCCTTTGTCCTCCCGAAACGGTTCATATTTACATTTGCATGGGCCCGTGATTGATTCCTTCTCAAACTTACTTTCAGAGCAGACAGTAAGATGAGGGATGGGTCAACAGAAACTCAGGGATAAAAAGGCTGATTATATCATTTTTAGGTATTTGTTGATCCCCCTTGTTTACAAGGCCCTGAGGTCCGAATGCCGTCAATAGCTCCTTTTTCATACTTCCTCCCAAATCCAATCATAGACCAGGAAACTCATTGTTCCCCTTGTCTGTCACCCCGCCGATGAGGACAAAGACTCGAATAACAGCTGGCGGATGCCCCCTGGGCACACCATTTCCCCTGAGCTGTCAAGCTTCGCCCCGCCTCCTGGCCGCTGATTGGACCATCTTCGGAGGCGCTAGGAAGGCACCAATTGGCCCCCTAGAGGCAGCGGAGCTCGCTGATTGGACAGGAGGCGGGACGCACAGCCAAGCCTCCTCCCAGCTGTTCCACGGCCAGCCAATCAGAGCGAAGCCGGCCGGCAGAGGGCGGGCGGGATTTTTGAAAATGTTTCCTTTGTCTGTACGCTATAAAAATGCCTGGAAATTCTGTAAATGCATGCTTGTACGTGGATGACCACTGCAATCGCATCCTTTTCAGCTGAATCGCAGAAATAAACGCTTCGGTCACTGAACCTCTTCAGCCTCCGGTGAGATTAATTTTTAATATTTTTCGCTCTTTGGATTGGCTTTTGCTGGCTGCTCACCGAGGTCAAAGGACCCCTTTAGCGGTCTTCAGGGATCTCTCCCGCTGGGAGACCCCCACAAAAGAGCTCGATATCAACAATAGCCATTATGTTTGATTTGACCCCCAGAGAAAAAGAGAGAGCTTACACAGAAACACCCCCCAACTGTAAATCCTTG